CGCAAGCTCACGTTATATTTCTGAGAATTACATTAATATTTTATCGAGATTATCGTCACCGTTACGATCAAAACCAACAGCAGAAATATAAAACTAGGAGAGGCCTAGGACATGGATATTATTATACCTCCATGGAAAGGCCTATAGGCTTTGGCCTAGGTAAAATTAAAAATCGAAAACAGGCAATTTTTATGAATTTTTGTTAGGCCTAATTATATCTTTTTTACAGTTAGTCTTTAAAATTATCATTTCTTATATCGTTTTAGTATTAATTAAGATTATTAAAAAAAAACTGTCTAGGACGACAGACAATATCGGTCTACAGTAGGCCTACATTCGGTTAGACTTCCTTCAGTGTTAGCGAAATACAAAAAATATATTCTGTAAAATATTGTTTTCTCCGTGTTTTCTCTGATTGCTGTTCAATGTATTGCTTTCACCCCTCACCCCTCACCGCCAATAAATACTCAACATATACGATGAATATCAGAATTTAGTGCAGTAGGCTAAGCTAGGGTGGCATTTTCCCCATTTATTTTCATTCATTCTCTGTATGTCATTTTGAAAACAGACATTGGGCCTGGGTGTAGAGGAAAAAAATAAAACTAAAATAAATGTATTGTGTTTAGATCAGATTATCATACAAGCATATACAAGCGACTGCACACACACAGTAGATCTTGATCACTAATTAGGCCTATTCATGTAATAAACTGTTTACGCCAATTAACTTTAATTTATGTTCCGCTGAATGAGCTGTTCTTGTTTGATTTTGATTGATCACTTCCTTGTTGTCTTTATTGTAATTAATGTATTTGTATCGTACAAAATCCATTTTCAAATATATATAACAAATATAAAATATAATTGAAAATGAGACTTAAAGAAAATAATAAATACAAGATTTAATTGCACACAAAAATTCAGAGACTGATATTTTCTTAGTTTATTCTATGCTTTTCCATGGTAACGTCGAGTCGTTATCACTGGGCGCTGTACAAAGGGTACGGCTATGCATAACTCGGGCCGCAGCAAGATCAATGACCCTTAATAGTCAATTTCCATAGCAGCAGAACCGTGGGACTGTTCCTATATATAGTTCTAGAAGAAGCAGGTACTGGCAGTTGCGTTTATCCTGTCACTACGAATTTACTCCTCCATGCTCATGGAAACAACCTGAGTTTGGCCTGATTATAACATTGGGCGGTGTACAAAGGGTTTGAGCTATGCATAACTCGGCCGGCAGCAAGATCAATGACACGTACACTTTGATTCAGTCTGCATTTCAAGAGCGTGGGAATGTTCCTATGAATAGTTCTAGAAAAAGCAATATACTGGCATTAAATTGCGTTTATCCCGTCAATATTCATGGCAAAAACATGAGTTTGGCCTGATTATAATACAGTATAAAAGTGTATAGGAAATTTCAGTAGGTTTCGAGTCTTGGTATTCGACATTTCGGTTTTAAATTTTACAGAATAGCTCAATAACAAATGACAGAATATAGTATTCAAATTAATTCATAATAATGAATGAAACTTATGACAAAACATAGAAAAGAGACTTGTCGATAAATTACAATACATCAAAATCACGAGATAAACCGACGCAAACAAGTTGAACAAAAACGTTGGAAAACGAACCCTAATTCGCGAAATGGAATCGTCAAATATTTTTGATCGGTAACTTGAACCACTCGTCGGCAACGCGAAGATATTATAATCCCCAACCACGCGTTGTAGACGGGTATACGCGTTGCTTTATTTTGCGAGGCTCCCTAACAAGAAATAAAAAATTTTAAAAAAAATTTTTAACACTGCTGCTACTTTTCCATGAGCTAGGGAGCGGGCGCTGGAGGGAAAACAAACAATTTTTTTAGGCTTTATCTTGTCAATATTATCATAACATGATATAAAATATTAAGAGGATCAAATTGACAAATGAGGCATGTTGTGGCAAAATGGCTAAGTTGTAGCAAAAATTTAAATTCAAGTTATTGGTATTTTCAGATACCTGAGTATGTGATCTTTAATATGAGGGGTCATTCATTTGGACATTTCAAGCCTAAGTTATTGGAAAGTGAAAATACAGCACTCTTTAGAGTCAAAATAAACATGATTTTGAGTAATTGCTTTTCAAAGTTATTTGTGCATATTTGTTTTAGAATGAACTACCAAAATAACGTTAAATAAACAATTTGTTGACCACTTCCAGAACTAATGCTTTGGGACATGATTAATAAGACATTAAACTGTTGATCTATAGTGAAAAACAAATTTTGATTTTTAGGCAATTTTTTGAGCTCCCATATTTTATAGCTCATTTACAGTACTCAATACTGGACTGTGCGACAACTTAACCATTTTCCCACGACATGCCTCAAATCACCAGAAGGGTTAATTTTGTGTAATGAATTGCCATATAGACCCTCTTTTTTTCTTTTTTTTTTAATGAGGGTATAAAATAGAGGCTATTGTACATTCTTAGCCAGAGGGCACCCTTCACTCATTTCATATTATAATCATTAACAACACCAGATGGTTTTATGTGCACAACCAAATGTCATAGGAAGACATACTATTATTTTTGAAAAATGTTTTGTAGTATTTTTGTAGTTAATTGAAATTTCACTTTAATTTCTTAACAATTAAATATGAATTTTTTTTTTTTTTAAATATCAATTCAAATATATTGGTTGCAAAATTTTTTTATTTCTCATTTAAAAAGTTAAAATACAGCTAAATGAACCTGATTCACAGATCAAAAGAGTTCAGTTTTCGTCCATTTACCAATTCTTTTTATAACAGAACGGATCAAATTGACAAGAAGGGTTAATCTTTTATACTTTATTTTAGTTTTTAGGGTATCAAATAGATGCTATTGTGCATTCTCAGCCAGAGGGCACCTTTCACTCACTTTATTATTATAATCATTAACAATACAAGATGTCTTTATGTGCACAACCAAATGTTATAAAATGAGTTCTGGCATGAAGTCAAATTCTAAAACTAAATAATATTTTTAAGATACTATTATTTTTGAAAAATGTTTTGTAGTATTTTTGTAGTGAAATTTGAAATTTCTCTTTAATTTCTTAACATTTTAATCGGATTTTTTTTTTTTTTTCAAATATATTGGTTGCAAAAATTTAATTTCTCATTTAAAAAGATAAAATACAGTCAGAAATGAACTTGATTCACAGATCAAAACAGTTCAGTTTTTGTCCATTTTCCAACTCTTTACAAAAGAAATTGTTCAATTACATTACAAGCAAATTTAAAGCAAGACATATTTTGTGATTAAAAATGTTATTTTAATGATTTGTAAACAGTGTTTTTTGAAATAAGCTTACCCAACGTTTTATGTACTATCAGCACCTTTTCTCAAAGTTGAATGGCCAACAGTTGATACAGTGGTCACTGGATTGAAATCATGCTTGAAAAGATATGTGTGTCATACACAATTGCTTGAAGTAACATTAGAAAAAAAACATCCGGGAAACAGTATGCCTGTAGGGATTTTGGCACCTTTCGGCCGTTCAAAGGCAAAACAACGTAACTGCGCAAAAATATAATAGCAGTTATGTTGTTTTGCCATGGGACGTCTGCCTTTCCCTTGATGGCAATAAGATACTGGGGCAGATGCATATTTGGCGGTAGGGGGTCTGTGCATAAATTTAAGGAAAAAGTACTTGTAGATGTATCAATAAAATAGTACTGTAATTTATATGATGTCCTCTGTCCATAGTCTTTTGTAAGAACCATTTCACTCATGAGATAACACTACTATACCTGTTCACTATTAAAGAACTCTAAAATTGAAGTGTCCCAAGCAAGGTCCAGAAAGCCTCACCAAAAGACTTACAATTACAAAAAGACATATTTTGTGATTAAAAATGTTATTTTAATGATTTGTAAACAGTGTTTGTTTTCTCCTTTTTCTATTCAATACTCAAATATAAATAAAGCACAAAACATAGACAATGAAATATAAATTTAAAAATTTATACTGAAAAGTTCTAATAATTTTTTTAATAACTTTATTTCCTTTTGAATTGTCTTTTAATTTTTTAATTTTATACAAATAATAACATATAATACAAGCTTCTGATAATTGGCAAGAAACATTTTCTTGTTTTAGTAATATTCAGTTGATTGAATTTAAACAACTTAAATATAATATACAAATATTTTAAGGTTTATTATTCAAATGATTTAGGGGTCGTTCAACATTATCAACATTTTCACAAGTGTACACACAGTCTGCTAGGGAAGAGGTGGTGGACAAATTTGTACACTTTTACATGCATAAAAATGTTGATTTAAAATAACATGCAATATTTTAAAAATTGGTAAAATTATTATGTAACTATGGATACAATATTTCTTTTTAAGCCACCACAGACATTGCTTTAGTTGACTTCACAAAAAATTGGAGAAGGGTTGTGCAAAATCAACACTTTTTTGTACAATTTCATAGGGGATGGAAGGGGTACCGAAAATGAGTACAGTACTGTTTGTAAACTTGTGAAAATGTTAATAATTGTGAACGACCCCTTAGCCGAACACAGTTTATCTGCAATAGGATCAAACAAACCATGCAATAATGACAAATTAGTGCATGGTTTGAGATTGAAAATAATGTTAGAAGTAAAATAATGTGTCACGGTTGATTTATAATAACTAATATCGTTACTACTAATTAATGAATTTACAAAATAGAAATACCTAAATTTACATTACTACACTGTGTTTATCTGAGCTTGATTGTGAGTCCAAGGATAAAGAGTGTGTGTGAATCAACAAGTGTTACCATCCAATTGCATCATAATACAACCTGATAAATTGCACACCTAACACAATTAAACTCTAATCACCCTCCTGATTGGTCAAATTTTTGGACAATATCATTATGAAAAATTAGTATTTAACATCGCTGATGCGAGTACATCAAGAAAAACAATCAGTAAACGAGCAATGCATTGAATCATCAACGAAAGAGATTCGGAGATGGAAAAATTTTGAGAGGAAATCGCAAGAATAACGGTCAGTTTATCCAGACTTAACCGTTCATTAAAAACAAACTTCTGCAGAGGAAGCAATGAGATTGACTCAGAGTAGTAGCCCACATGTGTCTTGTTAGAACTTGTTAGGCAAGGAAATTCTTTACAGTTGCAATCTTTGTACTGACTGGATCCAAATCACACATGTAGGATATTTATCTCATTCTGTTTGTTTGTTCAATGAGGTGACTAGAATAAAGTTATTTTTTGAGTTGTCAAGTCCACTTGACAATACTTCACAGCATTATCTTTTACAACGTCAGTGTATTGTAATCAAAATATCTCTAGTGCTGAACTTTGGACATTGATAAGTTGTAGAAAGTTAAGTTAACAAAATGAAATTGAGTCTGGCATTCAACTGACTAACAAGGGAAATAACAACAGTTGTGTAGTGTTTGGCCTACAAGGACAGTAATAGTTCTGACTCGTTTAAAGTTTTCAAGTGAATCAGCATTCAAACAGGAACAGAAACAACGCAGGAAGTATGAAGAAGGTAGCATCCTTTTCAGACCGATGTAGCATTCAAAGTTATACATCGTCTTCAGAAGAGGATCCGCTGAAGAAGAGACAAGCCACAACGCCGACAGCTCAGATGCGAAGAAGAAAATCACTCATGAATATCGTAAAACAAGTAAGCTGGAAAAAAGGGCGCCACCTTCAGCGTCTCGTGGAGAAAAATGGCGATTGCAATGTCATCCACAGGAATGTGAAAAGACGGAAAATGGACTTAGTGTCCGATCTTTTTACGACTTTCGTGGAAATGAGATGGCGGTGGCTGCTATTCTTATTTACTATTGGGTATCTTATTGGATGGGTAGGATTCGCAGGCTTTTGGTTTGCAATCTCATATTACAATGGTGACTTGGGTTACCTTACAGACAATCCAGAACACAAACCTTGTGTTGCTAATGTAGACAGCTTTGAAACAGCTTTTCTTTTCTCGCTTGAAACACAAACCACGATCGGTTATGGTCTGCGTGTTGTCACACCGCATTGCTGGATGGGATTTGTCCTTGTAATTGTTCAATCCGTGTTTAGTTGCTTAGTCGACGGTATCTTGATCGGCTGTATTTTCGCAAAACTTGCCAGACCAAAGAAACGTGCAGTAACTTTGAAATTTAGCAAATATAGTTGTATTGCAGAACGCGATGGACAGTTATGTTTTATGTTCAGAATTGGCGATATTCGTAGCAGTCACCTTTATGGAGTTACGATACGTGCTCAGCTGATGCGACCGAGGATTACACAAGAAGGAGAGTGCATTCCGCTATATTCATATGAACTAGACTTGAAATCAAAAACCAATGACAACAATTTACTTTTGGTCTGGCCGATGATTATTTCTCACCAAATAGGACCGGATAGTCCACTCTACGATTATTCCGCAGACGAACTTAAAAATGCCGACTTTGAAATTATAATCGTTCTTGAGGGTGTGGTAGAGCAGACAGGCTTACTTTGTCAGGCGCGCACTTCATACCTACCCTCTGAGATCAAATGGGGTGAGAGATTTTCAAGCGCCCTTATGACCCTCTATGATGAATGGGACTGCCAATTCTCTGTAGATTATAAGCAGTTCAATAAGATGTACACAGTTTCGGACATGCCAATATGCAGTGCACGTGAATATGACGAAAAACGCGCGCAAGAGCGTGAAGGACTTGACCTAGAGAGTTTGCGAGGATATCAACATAAAAGACTTCTTGATCTAAAAACCCAAGAAGCTGAGAAGGAATATAGACATAATGGCAGGCAGAGATCAAATGGCTCGATTGAGATACATGAAGGGAAAGTCGGACTAGCATCCATTGAATCCTTCGAACAACTGGAACAAGGGAATGGCAATAACTATTTGAGAGTTTCTTCCCGACAATCGGATGTTTGATGAGGTAAATAAAATTCTATTACATTCAATAATTTAAAATTAGCAACCAAAATTCTGATAAGTTTTCAACAGTTTAACCAGGAGTCAAAAGTTGAAAGGAGTCAATTTCGGAAGATCTGCAGTGGCGGATCCAAGAATTTGAAATATTGGAGGAGGGAGGTGGCAGGAAGGGGATTTCGCAAAAGTATGGTCTCTATACCACCTCAGCTCCACCATGATTGAGGCTGAGGCTAACATTTATGATTAGGCACATAGATTACCGGAAATGGCATTCTCAGTCTAAAAATTTAAATACAATTTTCTTTTTTTCTCCATTATTTTTC